AAAAAAACAAAGAAAGAGTGGAGTCACAGCTTGAAATCGTCGCTCTGTCCCCCTGCGGGTGAAACTGTGGTTAAAAAGTGGTGGGTGAAGTGGCGGTAGTAAACCCTTGGCCCAGGGGTTGACACACACACAGACAGAGACTCATACACACACAGACATAGATACAAACACACAGAGACCCACACACTGCCTCAAGTCACTCGACTTGGCACTTCACACTGAACACTTAACAGATAACTCACACTCTGACTTCCTACGTGATGAAAAATGCTTTCGGGCCACTCGTCGTCTAGTTTGTTTTTAGTGTTGTATCCGCGCCGCACTCCTCCTCCTCCTCCTCCCACCTCCCGCTTACCACCAACCAACTGCCACCAACCAACTGCCACCCACCAATTGTCACCAACCAAGTGCCACCAGCCAATTGCCACCCACCAATTGCCACCAACTAATTGCCACCAACCAATTGTCACAACCAATGGCTACCAACCAGACTTCCACCAACCAATTGCCACCAACGAGTTGCCACCAACCAATTGTCATCAACCAATTGTCATCAACCAATTGCCACCTACCAATTGTCACCAACCAATTGCCACCCACCAATTAATTGCTACCAACCAATTGTCACCAACCAATTGCCACCGACTAATTGTCACCAGCCAATTGCTACCAACCAGTTGTCACCAACCAATTGCCACCCACCAATTGCTACCAACCACTTGCCACCAACCAATCGCCACCAACCAATTGCTACGAGGTACCAACCAATTGTCACCAACCAATTGTCATCAACCAATTGTCATCAACCAATTGCCACCCACCAATTGTCACCAACCAATTGCCACCCACCAATTGCCACCCGCCAATTGCTAATAACCAATCTCTCTCCATGGGGTCGGATGCACGCCCTGGCGTCGCTGGGTCTCCACTGCGCCGCTGTGATTTGCGCGGCAGGTGCAGCACTTTGGTGTTCTCCAGCGGGTCGGATGTACGCCCTGGCTTGGCCCTGGTCGCCCTGGCGTTGCTGGGTCTCCGCCGCTGCGCCGCTGTGATTTGCGTGGCAGGCGCAGCGCGTTGGTGTTCTCCATGGGGTCGGATGCGCGCCCTGGCGCCGCCCTGGATGTACGCCGTGGCATCTGTGGGTCGCCGCGGCTTGCCATCAACCAACTGCCACCAACCATTGCCACCCACCAAGTGCCACCAACAAATTGTCACCAACCAATTGCCACCAACCAATTGTCACCAACCAATTGCCACCCACCAATTGTCACCAACCAATTGCCACCAACCAACTGCCACCAACCGGTTGCTACCAACCAATTGTCACCAACCAACTACCACCAACAAATTGCCACCAACCTATTGCCACCAACCAGTTGTCCCCAGCCAAATTGCCACCAACCGATTGTCACCAAGCAATTGCCACCAACCAATTGCCACCAATCAATTGCCACCAACCAAATGTCACCAACCAACTGCCACCAACTAATTGTCCGCTGCTGTGTTTGTTGAAGTTGCTACAGTTAACATGTGGAGTTATCCGGTCCTATAATTTTGCACTCTTGTTTCTGCGCATACGATGCGCTCAGCTGAACATCTGCCGAAGATCTGGCGACCTTGGCTTGGGGCAGGCCTCACGTAGTTTCTTTGCGGGGCCCGCGCGCCCTTCCTCAACGCGGCCTTTGACCAAGCATCGGGCTCACTCTGCCAGTTGTCCCTGGCGGATCGCGACATGGGAGGAATTTCCCACATCCCAGGATCAAGCGGGCCGCTTTGGCAAAGACCGCCCGCAATCTCATTGAAGGAGGCTTCATTTGCCCTGGCCAAGATGTGGGCCTTGCGGCGGCTGCACTTCAGATAGTCTCCATCAAGCCGAAGGAGATGAGTGCCCGCCGGCGGGGTGCCTTGCTGCTGGATGAGGTCATTGATACCCTCCATCCTGGGCCTTCTGGTGGATCTCTGAGAAGGTGCCAGGCGGCATGCGCATTCTCTTTGAGCTCCGCAAGCAAGGACTTGATGTGGATCTTGGCCTTGCGTTGTGAGCATTGTGCCATTTGATCTCTTCTTTGAACTTGTGCTCCAGGAGAGGCCAAGGGTCTTCCAAAGCCAGTTCACAATCAGATATGCTAGCATAGCCGCATAGCCCTTCCTCTTCCATCTCTG